ATGACCTCTACACATTTGGCTCCTCATCCTGGAATAAATTAACTTCTGGATTGACCCATTCCAGTACGGCATTCTTAAATATGGGATTTCTTGCTTATGAAATGTGAATGGTCACCATAAACACCACCATCACCACCAACAACAAAAAGTGCTCAAGGTAGTCACAAATTATGCAGAAATAAGAATTGCTTGGAAATCTACTGCTTTGTTCTAATTTGATACCCTTTTCCTTTGGCACCTGCTGTAGGTTAAATGTTTGTGTTCCCCTGAAATGTACATGCTGAAATCCTAACCCCCAAGGTGATATATTACAAGATGGAGCCTTAGGGGGTGATTAGGTCATGAGGGTGGGGCCCTCATGAGTGGGATTCATGCCCTTATAAAAGGGACTCCAGAGAGCTCCCTTGCTCCTTCCACTATGTGAGGACACATGTGAACCAGGAAGTGGGCTCTCACCAGATATCAAATCTGCCAGTGCCTGGGTTTTGGACTTCCATCCTCCAGAATTGTGAGCAATAAATTTTTGTTGTTTGTAAGCTGCCCAGTCTATGGTGTTCAGCCCAAATGGAGTAAGACAGTCCCCTGGCCGCTTTCTCAGTCTCTATATCCAATACTCGCCAATAATTTTCTTTTGTAGAACAGTAGAGTGTTAGATCAGTCAGCAGATCACCCATAATGCTGACAGGGCATTCTATATTAACAGAGTCTTCAGCTGGTTAACAATTTTGCCATACAAAACACCACAAGGCTTGTCTTATTTGAGATCAGAGTCCTCAACTGGATCATGGCACCGGCAATGATGTCCAAACTGCCAAGCCCATGGGGTTTCATCATTTTCTTCTATGGGAGGTATTAGCTCCACCATCTCCCCCCTGGCAAACCAACTCCCTAAGATTAGAAGATGAATTAAGCAGAAAGGTGAATACAGAATCTGACTTACAGAGGTTCCCAGGACAGCCAAGCTCTGTTGGAAACAGTCAAGGAAGCCCTTTGTTGTTTACATCTGAGATGGTGCTGGAAGCCATCTTTTGGGGAGCGATTTTGGAACTAGGTTTTAATGTAATGAAGACATTGTGCTCTCATATGCCCTGGATACTGCTGTTCCGCTGTTGCAGACAACACTGTGTAGGGTTTTTAAGATGGCCAGGGTTTCTTTCCAAATTCTACTACTTAGCTGCTGTGTAACCAAGTTGCTTAATCTCTTTGAAGTCTTTGCTTCCTCATCTGTAAAATGTACTAATAATAGACTTCCAGGTTTTTGGAAACATTAAATGGGATTAAATGTTAGTACTTAGCATAGTGCCTAACACTGTTATGGTCAGTATTGGCCAAATATCAGCTCTTTTTAGGATATGCATTTTGCATACTGTTGGATTGGTTTTCAGCCATTCACCTGATCTCTTGTTATTGTCATCTGAGGTGAGAAGTCTGGTGTCTGGCCAAAGAAACATGCATTTTCTGACATCACGGTATGTAATTTGTTGATATTTAACATTATGGTTTTGGCTTGAATGCTCCAATCATAGAACGGAAGAGAGACAAAATAGCATACAAACTGATGGTGGGAACATTCTGGATCTAGTGGTTGTTCTGCCACTGTGTGTCTGTGGGACCATGTGGTTGTCATCTAACCTCTGTTTCTTGGCTTTCCCTTCATAACCCGGTAGGAGTCCTGACCTGCCTGCAGCTCACCTGTATGCGCAACAAACGGGACACAGAAATGGTAAAGCCCCTGAGCTTGAAGGAAGACATTTCCCTCATAGATCTGGGATGCTTTAATGTAGAGCTTCCTTTTAACAGTCAACGTACAAAGATATGAAAAGATGAGAGAGCTAGAAAGGATTCCTGGAGATCAAAAAATATGGTTAAATTATAGAGAAAGAGAATGGCTTTTTCTTACTTTCAAAGGTTTCCTAGGGAAGTTGGGAGTGAGAGTTTCCCTTCCTGGTGCCCCCATGGTAATGTGCACTTGCTGCCCCCTTTTTACTTACCGTATCATATCATTTACAGATTTTTAATTTTTAATTTTCAAAATTCGACAGATAAAATTGTATATATTTATAGTGTATGACAGGATGCTTTGAAGTATACATATCCAGCTTTTTTAAACTCAGGCTATATCTCATACATTTTTGTGTCCTTGACAAATATCACAGTGCCTGGTACATACTGGATGCTCAATAAATGCTTATTGAAAGAATACACTGAAAAGCACACTTTTCCTTGCCAGTGAATTTTATTATTTAGCAGGTCTTGCATGCTCCTTTGTGATTACCCTAGTTCCACAAAGGACTGAGCAGTCTTTCTCTACTTTAAGTTGAAATGGAAAACTATTCCTTACTATTTTTTGTATATTGTCTTTAAAAATATAGAAATAGTATACTCTTGTAAGTAAAATTGGAAACTTTAAAAGTGCCATGCACTAGGCGGGGCGCGGTGGCTCATGCCTGTAATCCTAGCTCTCTGGGAGGCCAAGGCGGGCGGATTATTTGAGCTCAGGAGTTCGAAACCAGCCTGAGCAAGAGCGAGACCCTGTCTCTACTAAAATTAGAAAGAAATTAATCGGACAACTAAAAATATATAGAAAAAATTAGCTGGGCATGGTGGCGCATGCCTGTAGTCCCAGCTATTCGGGAGGCTGAGGCAGTAGGATTGCTTGAGCCCAGGAGTTTGAGGTTGCTGTGAGCTAGGATGCCGCCACGGCACTCTAGCCCGGGCAACACAGTGAGACTCTGTCTCAAAAAAAAAAAAAAAAAAAAAACTACCATGCACCCTCCAGATACTCTTTGTCCCTTATCTGAGCTTTATTTTCCCCCATGGTGTTTATCCATTTATCTTTTTCTAATATATTATATAATTCTATTTACTTGTATTGATTGTGGTCTTTCTTCCCACACTAGACTATAAACTCTAAGAAGGCAGGAATTTTGGTCTGTTTTAATCACTGATAGAACTCTAGTCCCTAGAAGGCTCTCAAATAAATGTGTGTTGAATGAGCAAACGAATCTCACAAAACAACAAAACTCTGCTTACTCTCCATTGTCACTAACAAAGAATGAAGACAAGTGAAATGACATGGGAAACCTGCATTGCCATTATTTTCTCTCAATGTCTGTAACCGGAAGAAAAACAATTCTCAAAAATCTATGGCTTTTACTGAAGCTTAAGTAAATGTCTGAAGTCAAATTAAAAAGAAAAATCCCCCTGACCCTGCCCACTCAAGGACACAAGAAAGCGCTAAACTCTGAATCTCTCGTGGTGAATTGTGTTCACGTACCGCTTTTATTTTGCTGTGGATGAATTCTTGCTCAAGTGCAGAATGAATTGTGAGAAGATCACTGCGCAGCCAGCCACACACAAACTCAAAGGAGGACCATTCTGAGGCATAAGTGTGAAAAAGGTATTCTGCGTCCTGATAGAAGAGCCAGGGTGCATCTGAAAGGAAAAGAAACAAATACGGGAAATAAAGGAAAGCAAATAAGGGAAAAGCGATGGAGAGACCAATGCAGACTTAAATAAGGAACAATTGACCCCAAATTTGCAATTTGGTCACTCAGCATTAAAAAAATTTGTATACACACACATCACAGATGAACACACACACACACATACAAACACATACACAGGCATACGTGCACATAAATAAATACATAATTTGCTTATCTTCCTTGGTCTGCCTCATACAAGAAACTTTCATTAGTATACAAAGGTCAGGGATAAACACATAATTTAAAATCACATGTCATAAAAATGATCACAGATATTAGTCTTCAATCATATTTAATGACCACATTTATTAATTTGACTGTTTATTAATTTAAACAAATTAGCTCTAGGTTGACACAAGAGAAGAGAGGCTCAATTGGAGGAATGTAGTAATACATTAATGGCATGTAGTAGCACTTATATGGTGTATAATTAGAAATTCTGGAACTACCAGGACAGTTCTTACCGTACTGGTACCAGGATGGAATCTTGGGTCTCACATCTGCAAAGTGAAAGCAAACCACCTTGACTGACCTTTCTTCACAAGTGCATTGTCTCTGAATTACTTCAGCTCTAAACACACTACTTTCTACTTCCCCTTTTAAAAAAATAATTAAAAAAACGGGTACATTGGGCTGTTTGGAATATACGGTTAGTTCTCATACTTGAAGAGGAGGTCCCAGAGAGGCTTCTGATTAAAGAAAGAGGGACGTGGACACTGGTTGAGGACGTTGACACACCTACTGTGTGTCACGCACTGTGCTAGGTACTTCCACTTACTCATTTCACAAGTAATTCTGTTTGCTTATGAAGTCAGAGTGACACTTCTTCCAGACTGTACTTGCACAGTAAAATATTCCACAATATTAGCTGGTTATCCTTGTTCCGAAGGAACTAACTTGGCATACCGCATCGGTGTCATTTTGTTCTTATTTCCCTATGACACAGTCTTTGTTAAAATAGTGTAATTTGGTTCATCAAGCAGGTTGTTGGTATTGTGGTTCAAGGTGCTTAAATTTTAAGACCTCTGTAACCCTTCACTTGGGAAAGTGCTATGGATTATTATTAATAGAAATCAAACGCATAGTAAAGATCATATTAATATTTTTACCTCTTGGAATTTTGCATATCCACTCGCGTTTGGAGCCACAGTGCAGTGGCAGCAATGTTTTATTTGCCTTATACACAGCACAATTTCTTGCATCTTCTTCAAAATAAATATTGTCTAAAAATGAAGAGACAACCTGCGGCAGATGAAGTTTGTTATTCCTTAATGATGATCCCCCACAAATAGTTTCAGTAGATCAAAAAAGACATTCTTGTACATAATCATCGTAGACTTTTACAGAATGCTTCAGAAATGTCTAGATATCATTCCAGTTAAAGGTTGTTTCACATTTGTGAAGAATAAGCCAAACAATATTTAGCATTTTTGCTTAAAGACCCTTTTCTTTAAAAGAGGTATGCTACTCCTTTCTCCAGAAGAAACAAATCAGATGCAAGCTTCAATCTGAACTTGCACTGTTTTCTAACTGGCAGGGTTAGGCTAGCCCTGGAATCCTGGGTAGACTTCTTAGAGGATCGATGATGTGCCAGATCTGGGCATTACCTTTGATGTTGATTATTTTGTACATATGCTAAGCTTTTAGTCTCTAATAACTAAACTGTAAGCCGCAGCTAGCTTTAATCAGGAAACTATCCGACACTTTCCATGAGTGACCACGTAACTAAAATAATTCACATAGTAGGGGTATTAAATAAAGACTCAACCTTTCAACTATTTAATGACTACCTGACATAAGAGTGGATGGACCATGAGTAAAATTGGGTCAAAAGTTTGGAAAAAGGAGGAAATTTTGAAACTTTTTATATTCTTCCTCAAACATGTACACAGTCATGCAACAATTCATCTAACTTAAATACATATATATAAAATCTAACTTAAAAGTATATATATTTTATACACACACACACACACACACACACATACATATATATATATAAGTAAAATCTCCCCTCAGGCTCAGAGAGTGGCGTGAGGAGTGGTGAGGAATTCAGTCCGCTGCTTCAGGGCCCTATCTCATTTATTCTGAACCCAATTGTCTAGTCCTCTCTTATTACTAATAAGTTTGTTTTACTAAAACGAAATGAAGTGTTCTTAACCTCTACGTATCACGCCTTGGTTTTCAAGTGCTGTATTGACTTTGATCACCTGACTTGCCATGTCATGGCTGCCATTTATGGGGTGAGCTGACTCTGCTGTCTCTTCCATTTTCTGGGCCTTGGTTTCTTCATCAGCAAAATAAACGGATGGGGCTTAGTGATCTTTTAGATCACATTCTGCTCTCTGATCCTGATACTGTTTCAAAGAAGGAGTGTTGGAGTGCAAATATTATTTTTTAACTAGCATGCCCTTATCCTTATTTTTGTTCCCACTTAGAAGCATATAGCTTTTCCACAAATCCCCTCCTTGCCACAAATTTGAGCACCATCTATGTAGTGGGCTTTTCTCTCTTGGTCTTTACTATTTCAAAGTTTGGCTGCTGGTATTTTGCCAACTGCGAGTCAGACAACCTGTGTGCAAATCCTGGCTGTCCTTTGTATTATTTTAGGCAAACTATTAACACTTGATCATCCTAATACCCATGGCATCGAGTGATTGTAAGGATGCGATGAGGTCATGTAGTAGTGCATTCAGCTCAGCGCTTGCAACATTATACGGCCCGATAAACAGGAGCTGTGCTAAACACTCACTGCAGGCTCTTACTAGTCGCCCCATTTCACAGGTGAAACTAAATAACCTGATTTTTCATGTGCCATAGGCTGGATCTGATTTCAGTCTGGGATACAGCTTCAGTTTTCTCCCTGTCATTTTGAGAAAAACGTGAGAATTCTTCATCACAATAGTGGGTTCTCTCTCCCCTCCACAAAGGTTTGCAAGTGTGAGGATAAGTGAAAAGCAAGACTCTTTCTCCTTCTGGAACTTCTTCCTCTGGCTGAGAAGGAGGTGATATTTCTAAGTCTTGCATTTCTGTCCTTTTAGAGTGAGATAAACTGGAGATCATTCTCCAAAATAGTCTCCTTTTCATTGTGACACAGACATGTCCCGTAGTCAGGCACCATGCAGGAGAGGGAGGGAGGGGAAAGGAAGCCTGGTGTTATTCTAAAGGATAGCTGCTCCTGTGCCAGAAAGACTCTTCACATGGGAGATGGTGTGAGGGGACTTTTTGGATATTTTGATTCCTTTTCATGATGAGATTGTGTAGTGCCCTCAGAACAATCTGGCTAGCAAAGTTTTCCCAGGACCTTGCCAAAAGAATTCTCCTGGTACCAAGGTCTGGTGCAGTTTTGCCACAGGAGATATAGTCATTATTTCTAGTTACCATATCTTGGTTGGTTCACAAAGTTGTTTCAGGGCCACTTATTTTGAATTCATCACTTTTCTCTAGTTTGGAAAGACTTACAGGCGTTCCGTCAGACCACTCCCAAGAGCCAGCATTCAGTGGGTTTCTTTTATTAAATCCAATCCAGAACTGCCTTTCCTCTGTCCTATGAAGAGAAAAAACAAAAACTTTGTCTTCGCCATAGAATTTACAACATTATGTAAAAGCTTAAAAAATATTTTAAAATATGTATGTGTGCAGGAAACAGCTGATGCTGCTGGCAGGGTTGATAAAGTCAACAAACATTTATTGAACATTTTTTAATGTGCAAAACCCCGAGCTACGAAATGGACTGAGAGAAGATTTAGGCTCACATTCTATTTCTCTTTCAGTTTGTGTGGCTTGCTCACTAGTGATGTACAGTTGGGGAAAAGTCAGCTCATATTGAGAAGGTGGATTTCCGATCAGGAATGGTACTGCCTTTCAGTCAGGGCAAGACCACATGAAAGCAAGTTGGTAGACATCTGGGAACATCTCTTCCCTAGAGGAACTTTCACTACTTTCCTGTACTATTTCTACTACCTTACGATGCTTTGATTTGTTGCTTGTTTGTCAAATGTTCACGTATTCTCTGAAAGTTAATTACCACCATCCTCATTTAATAAAAGGTGCACAATAGGTTTTGGGCTTTTTTCAGATCCCAACATAAATAATTCTACAGCAAATCAGCCTGAACCATGGTAGATTAACTTCAGCAGTTGCCATTGGTTTAGACTTGGCAAGAAGCTCCTCAGAGAATCATCTTCCTTCCTATTAGGCAGAGTACAAATATGTCAAGCCACAGACTACTCAATAAATCAAGCAATAAAGCCTAATTGTACAATGAACCATCTCACTAAGATAATTTTCTGAGAATAATTTTGAAGAATTAAAGATTTAAAAGATTCAGAAGTCATGACAGATGCTTTATTTTCCTTAGTGCAGAGAAGCAAGCCTTATTTTGAAGAATCCTTTCTCATCTATTTGAGCTGCTCTGTCTGAATGATATAAATCAAAGTCAAACGCAACTTAGAAAATTGGAGAGATCACTGGTGCCTGCTTGGTCACTGTTGTGATGGCACCTTACATTCAAGGTCGGGAGAAGGTGAGAATGGCTGCCTTCGGGTTAAGCCAGGCACCTTCATCTCCATGGCATAGGCTGGAAACCCACATCACTCTCCCTGGGCTGAGAACTTATTTTTTTCCTCACTGAATTCAGAGTTCTACATTTTTCCTGCTATATACTGACTCCTAGAAGATGAAATGGTATTTGTAATATTTTCTCTCCATCAATTTCCTAACATTGTATAATTTCCTAAATGCATGTGTGTGTGTGGTTAATGAAATAGAAACAGAAAAGCAGTGCCATAGGAAGGAGAAGAAGCAAGCATGCTAACTCTGAGATCTGGCACATGCTGTAAGTTAGCATCAGATTTGACTGAATTCTCTGGTAGTTTGGGCAGAAAGTAAAACAGACGGCTTTTGTGATTAGATGTTGAAGATCCATAATTTGATAGATGCTTGGCACTAAATTCCACTAGAAATTTCAAGTGTGAGAATTTATGTAAATATTACAGAAATAGCAGTGATATTTGATTCTAAAGCAACCTGGGAAGCAGTTTGTGTGTGGTTGTGTCATATAGCAAACCTCACAAAAATCACAGGGCAGAATATGCAAATAGGTTTCACAAGGGGCTAAAGTAACGAAGCAAAGTACAACTTAGAAAATGGAGATGGAGACTATCATCTATCCCCTGGATCTGTGGCCCCACACCTGGCTAATAACCCAATTAACCAGGAAGCTTTCTAGACTTTTCTTTAGCCTTAGAGAGTCTGATTCAGCAGCTTTGGTGTGAGACCAGAAAGCTCTTATGTTAAAAGGCGATCCATGGAGTGTGAGACCAGCCAGGTTCTGGAACCCTGTTCTGAGGTCAGCATTTCTGTAGGGACAAGCAGTTCTGTGGGATATTAATAAGTGTCCTTAAAAAAAAAAAAGAGTTTTGTGGTCAAAGAACAGTGCTTTCTTCTAGAAGCCTTTACAATGCTAATGTACATGGCAAATTTCAAAGATTGCCTATAATTTTGCAAATATATTTGACCACACAGTCCCCTCTTTTCCCCCACAGAATCCATGAGACTCACCTTGGGAAATGTAAAAAATGCCCACCTTTAAGGTCATTTTTGTAGATGCTGAAGATGAATAATTTGAGAGATGTTACATATTAATTTTTTTATGGGAATGTCCTACAAGAAAACTTACAAGGAAGACCAAAATTTTCCTCAAAAAGCAGTACTGGATTTTCTCTGGGATTCAGGCAAGTATTTCATTGAGACTCCAGATTTCCAGAGCTTGGAGCAGAGTGTCTGGTATTGTATTTGTTCTCATTAAATAAATGAATTGAGGCATGGAGGTGTGCTGCCCTTAGACCACAGTGTCTTCAGGGATAGGATTTTGGCTGCCACGTCTATTGGGTGCTCCAATCAGCTATGCATTAACTGTGCCCCTTCCACAGAAGATACTCCCAAATGTACAGTGACTGACAAGAACATTCTAGAATGAGAGCCCAAGGTGGTGATGGGGGAAGACTCGAAAACAAGACAAGATGGCTGTCTTCAAATATTTGAAAGTAGAGTAAACTTGATCTGGAGAGATCTTGGAGCTCTAGCTCCAAACTGAGGGGAGGGAGATTTCTGGCTTACTAGAAAGTTGTTCTTTGAAACCAGCCATCAACAATAGGATGGGCTTTCTCCCAAGCAAGGAGCATTGTGAGACTGGAAGGCATTATGCAGACAGTGGATGACCATGGGAATGTGGTAGAAGCAAGTCCTGTGTTGGGTGGGAGGGAGCACAAGACCTTTTAGATTTCTTCCAATTTAAACCTAACTGAGTTTCTAACTCCACAGAATTCAAGATTCTGTAAACTTGCAAGATGGACACAGATAAGTAAATGCTTGTTTCTGCGTATGTAAAATTAGGGGGTTGGGTTGGAATTAAAAAAAACTCAGTGGGACTATTTTTTTTTCCCCCAAACAAAATCTTACATGGGCTCCTATTATATACAAAATAATTAGCAGTGGAGCTAGTTGGAGCTGCCCTGCTGAGTCAGTGAGCCGGGAACCAGTTCTGCCCGCATGGCCCCTCCTGCTCCTGAGAGTTCCCAGATCCTCGGATCCTCAGACAACACTTTGAAAACCACTGGGCTAGATAATTTCTGATTTTGGCAGCAAAGCTCTAAAATTCTGACTTGTACACAGAAAAGATTCCAACTAGCAGAAACAATTGTCACTTTGTTCTTTGTTTTATGAAATGAGAACTTCGTGCAATATATATGTAAATATATATAACTATGTGTATATATATTTTTTCTTTCGCAATTAGTGGCTAGTTGGCTTTAGGTTTAATGCAAATCCTGGAATTTAAAAAAACTATTTGGGATCCTAACCCCTAAGAAGCCATTACTGGGAGATGGAATATTTGATTGTAATTTTTCAAAACTAACAAGTATTTACCGATTAAATTTTGAATGTAAGAGCTCATTCACAAAATTCTCTTCCTCAATGTGGGCAAAGCTTGCAAGATGAGCCCCAAATTCTTCACAAAATGCTTCAGCTTCTCTCCATGTTCTTTTCCCCAGAACTTTTTCACTATGAAATACCTGTAGAGTAAAAGAACAAAAGTAACACTGTCATGGAAAAGGTGAGGCTGTTTATCCTCAAGAAAATAACAGCTCAGAAAAATAATATAATTGTCATTAGTCTTTATTAAAAGCTTGACCTAGTGGGAAGATAACATTTATTGAACGAGGATGTGCCTAGTCATCATAAAACTATTAGCTTATTCTATTCTCATAGCAAATTCCTGATGGGGATATGACAAGCTCAGTTTTGTAAATGAGCTTTTTGAGGACTTTTTTCCCCTAAATCTCCTGTGACTGGCATTACTGGCATGTACTTGTCCTTCAATAAATGTTCGTCAAGAGATGAGGAAAGCCAAGGTAAGAGAGGTTGAGAATTTGAGGTTACACAGCTACAAACTGGCTGAGCTAGGACTAGATCCAGGACTTCTTGCTTCCAGGGTCTGTGACTTTCCATCCCACCAGATCGACTTCTGACAAATTAGACTTAGTGTAATGGTCATGAATCTGGCTGATCCATGGTGAGAAATGAGGAAAGAGACCTGGGACCAAGGGCAGGTATCTTTCTAGGGTCTTGGGTCTTAGCTGAACTGGCAGGTGCAGTGGTTCAGCTGTGTCTGAATTCTCTGCTGTTTTTCAGCTGGCTCACAGTAGCAGAAAGAAGTCAGCCAAATGAAGGGCCTGTTTTTGGCTTTGTTTAAGTTCGGGGTGAGGGACTGAGGACCCAGAGCTCATGATCCTGGGCCTCTGCACCTTTCTCATCTTTAACTGCCGGGCACTAAGCCTGAACCTCTGATGCCAGGCAGGTACACCCGCGGCCAGCCTTACCAGACTGATTTGCTGAGACCAGAATGAATAGCTTTCTAAATCCTGTGGACCACAGCACAACCTTTCCATCTTTTAAATTATATGTCAAAACTCACCTCCTCTGGGAATGTCTTCCTGAATCACTCTAAACTCATAAATCCTATCACCATGCCCATCACACAACATGCATTTGTTGACACATCAGGGTGATATATAGAAGAAAAAGCATTAGACCAGGAGTTCCAAGACTGGGGATTTATTCCAACTCTGTCAATAAATAATTGTGATCTTGGACAAATCTCAGTGGCCTCAGTTTATTCTTTTCTAAAGTTTAACTTATTGCTCTGCGAAATCAATTTTGGGCCTATTGCTCTACGAATTTAATGTAGGATTATATTCATACATGTGTACCACTTAAACAGAGTGCATGCACACATGTCCCACGCCATCCACGAGCTGCAACAGCTCTGGAGTTAGTCTGTCTTCCTTCTTCTCTGCATGCACCCGGTTGTGGGAAAGAACTTGCTCCCAAGATTTGTTGAAACTCTATTTGTAAAATGAACCAAGAAAAAACCACCAAACATAAAAACATAATATTTCAAAAAATGTCTTTCTGACAAGTAAATTGTAGGAAGTGATTTAAATATAGGATCTAAAGCTGGTTTTCAAATAGGCATTTCTTCACAGATTTTATATATATATACACACACACATATACACACATATATGCACACATATATACACATATAAACAAATTGTATGTATTAATTTGTTTGATTTTCAGGTGTCTGACAAGCTGTAAAAGTTATCCTTATTAGCAGAATTGTATCATTCCATAATAAGGACTTTATTCATTGGCTTACCAACAGTATAAAATTGTACCATTTTAATACTCAGTGAGTGTCTGCCTTCTTCATTTGGCACATGTTTGGCAATAAGGACAATATTGACTGAGCCTCACTATTGCAGGAGGACAGGTCCCCACATGATCCTTGCTGACTCAGCTCTTTCCCCCTTGTTTGTAATTCTCAGGCAGAAGGTACCAAGAACGCAACATCCTGAGACAAAGGGGAATTGTTCTCATCCCTCCTAGAACAGGATGTCCTGCAATACTTTAGCCCAGTGATCCAAGTTGCAGCTGAGGTACGAAGCCCAGTGAGGAGTGCTTTTGGGATCCCTCAGCTGTGGTGGGAAGTGGGGCATGTGCAGACTAGACTCCAGCTTTCCTGAGCCTTGGGCACTGGCTCACCATGGATTCTAGGCTTCTGTTGCTTCTTGCTGCCTATCTGTGAATATAAGTTGAGCATCTTAAATATGAAAATCTGAACTCAAAAATCTTCTAAAATCTGAAACTTTTTGAGCAGTGACATGACACTCAAAGGAAATGCTCATTGGAGAATTTCAGATTTCAGTTTTTTGGATTTGCAATGCTCAACCAGGAAGAATAATGTTCCAAATATTCCAAAAATCCAAAAAAATTCCCAAATCTGAAATACTTCTGATTTCAAGCATTTTGGATAACCTGTAAAAAGCTGCTTTACCTGACTTGTGTGAGTGTTTTGTCTCACCAGACTCATACTCTAGCAGCTGAGTTTGTGCAAAACCTCCTGCCAGAGCTGGGAAGCTTAGCACAAACTGTTCAGGGGTTTAGAGTCCTCCTCCAGGATTGAGGAGTTCAACCAGTGCATGGTGTTCCCCTCCCAAGGATTAAGACTGGTGCATGGTATTTCTTCTTAACAGATATCAATCTTCATGAGGAAGCCTTCAATGTCACCAGGACATGCCAATTTTTGACTTAAAAATTATTTGGAATGTAATCGAAGGGATAGAGACAGGCAACAAATATTGATTAAGCACCTGCAGTTTGCAGGCACTGTTCTGGAAAAAAAAAAAGGTACCGGAATAATGGAATTTAGGATACATGGATCCAACTGAAATAGTGTTGGTCCTGCTAAGAAAGCCCCAGTAACCTTGGTATTACCTTGAAGCAACTGGCCAGACCAGACTCTGACTCCCAGTCCAAATAGCAAGGGTGGAAGGGCCATCTTTCTTCATGCTCCGTTTTCTCCCGGTTTTCGACTGGCTGCTTGCACAGGGACATTGCCTTAAAGCGTCTGCAGTCCTTTACTTCCCAGCGACCAACTGGATGACTTCCTCGCATGGCAACACAGCCGCCGCTGTAGCCTAAAAATGGAAAACAAGCACTTTTAATACCAGACAACTAAAACGTGTTGTGCTCAGAAGACTGCTCTTTAGAGTATTGAACTGACATCTCATAATGAAGCACCCAGACAAGAACAATAAAGACGAAAACGCATGCTTTATTGGCATGATTATCTCATTTCTCTTCATCTCTGGAGAAAAGAATAGAAGATGGAAGAGGGGGAGAAAAGAGAGTGTGAAGGCTGAAAATTGGACATTGTCCTCTTTGAGCTCAGAGGGCAAATGATGAGCAACTAGGAGCTGTTCCTACATGGAACCAAGATATCCCCCATGGCTCAGTGCTGGGCTTTGAAATCCCATTGTGAAAAATCAGAGACGAAAAATGCACGGTTCTCATGCTCTGACAACAGATTCGGTGGGGGAAAATACATAAATAATGGGTTCAAGGTAGACCACAAGGCACTCAACAGAAAACCAAACTGTAAACCCTGGGGGAAAGGAGAGTGAGATAAATTCTCTAAATGAGGTGAAGCTCTGAGTGCAGGGACAGAGCAGACATCAGGGGAAAAGGGGATGAGAGAGAGAGAGAGAGAGAGAGAGAGAGAGAGAGAAATGTAATAGAATGTAATAGACGTTTAGTTACGGACAAAAATCCACTTTTTTCTTTTGTGTATGTTTGAACATTCTGGAACATGAAATATATTTTTCATAGAAATAATTTATAAATTGAGTTAAGATTCTTCAGTTGTTAGCAAAATCTATACAACTCACAAAACAGCTAAAAATATATAATTTAAATTTCAGTGAAGGGTAGTAGAAATAGAATAAAAATTGAGTAAGAATAAGCTTGGTTTTTTTTGGAATCCAAGGTGATCATTCAATAACTAAATCAACATTCAATAACAACAATAAAAAACTGGGCATCTGTAATGTGCCTGACTAGGCTGTACGTTAGGCCTGGCTAGGTTGCTAAAGAGAGAAAGACAAAACAAAACGAAATGAAAACCAACTCTTAGTTCAGCGTGAGACACTACACGATCAACTGCAATAAACATAATGTGTGAAGTGCTAGAGTAAAGATGTGTTCAAAGTTCTGGAGCAGACACAGAAGCGATGATGAAGGCTGACCAGAGATGTCAGCAAAGAATTTGCAGGAAATGACATTTGGGCTGAATTTTGAAGGATGAAAGAGGAGAAAAGAGTTTTCAAGGCATGCTTGTAAAAAGCGAGTGATTATAGATGAAGCATTTGAAGACTTGTGATTATTCTGGACCTAAAGTCACTTTTTAAAATGTAGTCACTTGGTACTAGATATTTATCTTGTTTAATTTCCCTTCAGAAGTAACAGCTTCAATTTTTTTTAGATACTGTGTAACTGGTATTATCCGTCAACTCTGTTTTGGTTATTTTAGGCTCTCAGAAAGACAAAAGGGAGGGAACATGGAGAGTGGGAGTGAGAAGAAAGAAGACAGAGGAAGACATAGAAAGAGCTTTTCCTGAAGGAATGGAAGGGTTTGATGAAAGAGGAGAAAGAATAAAGAGCTGAGAATGAGAGCGTTTGTGTCTTCAACAATCCTGGGTGCACACCGTGTGTTAGACACCAGCGTCTCAGTGACTAGAGACTCCAGGTCTGCAGGAAGCTCCTGGTCCTGTGTGTGTGCAAGTTCATGTATTGAAGAGACCTTCAAAGGTGAAAATGGCCAGTTGCAAAAGAAGAAACATGCTAAGTATGTTTCATGTAGAAGGAAAGGAAGTCAAGGGACAGTTGGTCCATAGAGAGGCCATTGAATGGCTCCATTGGCCCAGAACAGCTAGTTTGTGTTAAAGACGCAGGGTTGCGGGACGGCAAAGGAGAGAGAGTACGATATGCAATTGCCTCTGCCATGAATGGAGCTTTGTGGGCCTGTTGAGTATAATTTTGAAATGCAGCTTGCAGTCTAGCTGGGTCATGAACAGAGGCGATGCTGCATGCTGTGTGCTGTGAAATTGAACTGGGGAAATGCACATGGAAGCTCCAAATGCAATATGCCTGTGCAGTCTCACTAGTTGGAAGAAGAGAGAAAACGTTCATTCCTTTCACATTCCTCCATCCTTCCTTTCCCAGCAGCCTTTGAGGGGCCCCAGTGGAACCTCCAGTTACTGTAGAGCACAGGTAGGAAATCTTGGGGAAAGAACTTCTGACTTGGAGCCTGAAGTCTGGGGTTCTAGTCCCAGCACAAATATTTAGTAACTCGAAACTTGAGCATGTTAATCACAAGAAGCCTTGTTTAAAATATGGGGATAATAATTCCTTTTCTTCTTGTAGGTTTTCATAAAGATCAAGTGAAATAATGTATTGAAAAGCACTCTGTAAAACACGAAGAGCTAAAAACACTAAAATGTTGCTATTATTATGGCCACTTTCATTACAAAAACTGGGATTTTGTGGCATGAGCTTTGCCTGCATGTTCAAAGAATTTTTTTAAAAGTTCGAATCAGCAAGTTTGAAATGTAATATACTTTTTTGTTGGTCTTGCATTTTTCTCACTTTCCCACATCAGACAATGATTAAATAGCTTTGGTTTTAGATGCTATAGATATTCAACTCATCTTCATTAGTGGAGAAGGAGATGTTTGTGAAACGCTATGAAGATGAAAAGTGCTGCAAGAGTGTTATTGGTATTCTAAAGTGGTTAAGTTAATGGAACATTTGACCCAAATTTTAGAGTCTCAGCCCCAAAGAAGCAGTAAAGTGGTATAATAAAGGGAGGCTGGGCTAAGGGAGATATAAACTAAATTTATAAGCTACATCATGGGGATGCATGCTTGCAAAGCCAAATAATAAGAGTAGAAGTGTGGGAAAGAGACGAGGTGGTTTTTCTCTCAGAGAAATCATTTTTAAATTTGGTAACTCACTTTCCGTTGGAGAAGAAAAACTATTATCCCTTTTCTCAGTGGCGAATCTCACATTTCAACAGATTCTCCTTACTTGTCTTTCCCCTGAGCCCCCTTCACTCTCTCCCTCAAACGTGAATGGGGAGACTTTCTGTCAATTAAGAAACTCCAATTCACGATTCTAGTCTCCTCCATTTACCAAAGCTATCTAGCCCTATAAAATGAAGTGAGCTGGGAAAGCCTCCACCTTCCACCTCTTCGGTCAAATATCTGAAAACAAACCAACCAAGCAAACTGTGGCATCAGGGTAAGAGGGAACGTGCTGGGCCCTCGGCGTCTCTAGACAGGTATTGCACTGGAGTCGGCCTAGTTATTTTCCCCATTCCCTGCGACAACCCTTCACATCCTCACCTCTCAAGTCCTCTTCCCTCCCTACTTTCCCTCTTCCTCCGTCTTCTCTCCTTCTCCACAGAGAAAGGTGGAGCTCTTCCCGCAGCCAAGGTGAGCTTTCCTGAAGTGCTGTGTATCTGCCAGGCACTGTGTGAGGCATTTCATATGGTCTTTTCCCTATTTAACTCCAAAAACTCTTTGAGGTGAGTATCAGTGTCTGCATTTTGCAAATGGAAAAATTGAGGCATAGAGGTTTAGTAACTTGCCAAAGACCACACAATTAGTGTGGGTTTGATCCAGGATTTGAAACCAGATTTATTTGAGTCTACTGTGAGACGATACCAAGGTACAGAGAGGGTGGGCGTTCAATAAACAGCTGAATGAATGAATTCCCTGAAAATTATGCTCCTTTTCCATGGAGCTTTCTCTCATTCCTCTGGTCATGTTTCTCTCCCTTGTGTGGCCATGGCATTTCTTTGAGATCTATCACCTTTTTAACCTTGTATGACAGTTACTTACGTGATTATGAAAAGATGTGGAAATGTCCTAAGGGTGCTCAGAAACAAGACTGGGGTTAGCCTCACATATGTGGTGGTTCATTTCAGAACTCCAATGAACCTGAAAATAGATTGGCCTATCTAGTCTGCCTACGGATGGGGCAAGATTTTTCTACTTACTATGTTCAGGACACTTTCAAGAAAACAAATTGACTCGCTCTACTGGGACCCTATTTTCCTTGCCATTGGCAGAAGATTTCCATTGACTTGGAACAATTGGGGTGAATGTACCCTGGAGTTAACCTATATGAGTGAAACACCTGGTGGTAGCTAGATCTAGAAATGAAACTTTTTTCATAGAATGGATAGTGACAAAATAGTAATCTCAAGTGTTTCTTTTTCTCTTTACAGACACCTATGAGGCTCTAATACAACTTGGAAAAGCATTTTTGAATGACTTTACAGGTATGAACTCACCTACTTTCTTTCACCATAGAGCAGCCTCCATTTATAGTGAATCTTTAATCTAAGAACAAAGTAAATTTTAGTTTCTATGCATTAGCTTTGCCTTGAGTGAGAAACTAATATATCACCTTTCCCTTTAATCAGTCGCAATGGTTAGTAGGGATAAAAACCATTTTTTCCTGTTTCATCTGAATATTTACTTCTCTGAAATACCAAGGGTCATAGAGTTGCTTTGTTGTTATTGCTTTTAATAAAAATAACAGAATTTTGTGATGTTTTGAGAATAGGACATTTGACCATGGAAGAAAGGAAATACAGATAAAGACAGGTTAAGTAAAAACCTTTTATTTCTGAATTCAGATTGAAAGTATGAATTTGAACTCAAAAAGTATTTCATCTTACACACACACACACACACACACACACACACACACACACACACACGTTTCCTAGATCTGTCCACTGAAATGGTCTAGAAACAATAACAAACCTACAAACTGTGATCACCCTCCCATATGTCCAGATTGTGATATTGCAATAATATCAGTTTCCATAAACAGGAACCAGGGTTCCTTGATGAAATGGGTGTTTCTAGGTCTGGAGCAGAAATTTATATCTTGTCATACCAGCTAGCAAGGACACTATCAAAGACTACTCGCATCACATCAAAAGGACTCAGAAGGTAGTTCTTAAAGAGATTCCCATCACAAAGATGGGGCAATTTCAGCTTGAAAAGGATAATTGTAATGGATTAAAACACACTAAATATGTTGAAAACCCTTACTTCATAGCAAT